ATTCTGTCTTCAGACAGGGGTAAAATAGGGGTGTATGTTTGTTTTTTTCTAAATTCATCAAAGATGGGACAAATCAACAAAAAGTGTAATTCATCTCCAATTTCTACGTTTTCACAAAGTGGGAAAAGGCGTTCATCTCTTGGACATTATATGACTCGATTAACTCGATGCACATTTGTTTGGAGAAACAAATATTGTACCAGGGACAGTAGTAGCGTATGACCGTGATAAATATAAAGTACTGTCTCATCTAATTTGGAATAATCCTGTGCTCATTGACTTTAACTTTAAATTACATGAATTACAGTTTTTTTTCCATAGAAAAGTATGAGAAACATAAATACACTGATATTTTTTTTTTTATTTTCTGTGCTTTCGATTGTTTGAGCTGTTTGCCTAAACAAAAATCACGTTATGTAGAGATTGTTTTCAGTGCTCACCATATGTGTGTACTATATCATGCAGCACACAACTCAAGCATTGTCATCGAATTGCATTGTATGCTAAGGGGATTTAACTATTTTACAATAATGCTGTACTGTTTAAAATAAAAAAGTACACAGCTTTAAAACAGGCAGTGTACTATCTATAGTTAATTATATTGAGATGTTGACATTTATAATTAAATTATATTGTCATTGTCCGCGAGTTTTACAGCTTTATAAAGTACACAGAACGTTTAAAAAATTAATGTTCGCCCAATTACCGTTAATTTTATGTAAGCTCATGAATCTAAATATAAAAACAAATGTGACAACATTGTGTTGTTCTCCGGGTGCTCATAGACCTGCATGCCTACCATAATAATTACATTTTCTGATTATTCTTATAATGTGACTACTCCATAGCTTGCTTGATCTAAAAAAAATGTTTATGTCCCAGATATTGTCACACAAAAATGTTAAACCAATAGACCAGGACTATATAACGAAAATTAAAATACCGCGCGATGCAATTTTGATAGAATGGGTTTACATTAGCAACTGTAAGATTTGTTGTAAATCTATGATATAAAGCGCCACCAACGTCGAAAGACAGAACTTCGATTATAGCCGATTCGTTTTAAATTGCCCAGATAACTCGTTATTTGCTGTAGTTTATCGTAACCAGATGTTTGGTAAACACGCTAATGAAAAATTGCTGTAAGTTTGTTGATTATGATCGTATGATTCATTTGTAGATATTTTGGATATTTTTTTGCGTACACATAGCCAGATCGATTTTTGAACGTGACAGTTTTTGGCGAATGGCAAGTAAAACGCAGGTAACCGCCACATTGTTCCACACGTGACTGAGTGACGTAATTTGAAAACATTACAAGTTCCGTTCTGCATAAACGTGTCTGTAATACTACAATAAAGCCATGCTCATACATTCTGCCTGCTTAGACTGTTTCTGTGCTCATTTATAACAAAAGAAACAGTTTTTTATTTGCCCACCTTTCGAAAAAAAAGAAAACCCCTGAACGGCCATGAGCGTAAACACTGACGTCAGGTAACCAAGAGAAAAAGAACAAGAAGCAAGAACGTGATCAACCAATCAGTATGATGAACCTATTACTAGTTACCTACCGGCTTGGTTCGCAATGACACTTGAGGCGGGATCCAGCCAATCTTATTTATATGTATCCAATTACTTATATATATTCAATTGTTTCATAGATGCGATTTTGTGTTAATTTATAAACATATATTATTTTCATGTTAGAGATCTACTGTAATACATGTCTTTTTCGCGAATTTAGCGAGAGAACTGATTCGCTAATTCAAGATGTCGTTAATGACTTTATTATCAATTCAAAATGGCCGCCAAACAAAGAAATCAACAATGACAAGAGATATTCGCTAAATCAACATTTCGCTATTACGTCATTTTACTACAATTCGCTAAAATTGCATGCCGCTTTTTCAACATGTTTTACAGTATATTGTAGTGTAGAACTTTCGTCTGAGAACGCACGGATTGAACTTTGACCTCATGTTTAAACTGTCAAATCGTATAAATGTCTAAAGAAGTCGGGTTTGCGTTTATAGTTTTAATCGCTTCACCGACATTTGTGTTCTGTATCGGCTAGGATTTTCGACGTTATGACGAAATAGTGTTTACATAACGTTTTTACAATAATCTGATTTTCAACCCATGTATGATAGGATTTGCTGGACTATAACTGGCTAACCCGAATGTGTTTACACTTGGCAAAGCAGCAAGTTTCTATGTTGACAGATTATATTTTGGAATAAAAATGTGCTTACGAAGAATTGTTTGAGGAAAGTTGTTATAATTGTGTTATCTTGAAAGTTTGTGTTTAGTGAACAGGTTTATTGTGAAATTATAAATGAATATTCGGATGATTAGTTCTGCATTGTTTCTTGAAAGTTGGACAGAAATGCCTTTTTCTACAGTAACTATGCATCTATCTAATGTAGTCGATGCGCCATGTTCCAGAAGCCAACACGAGGGTTCGTCAACCTGCTAGTTTTGTCATATTTTTAAAAGTCAATGTAGTGAACGCCGTCCTGAAAAGTGAACACCACTCTGAAAGGCGAAGCACTGAAAAGCGAGTGGCGAGGACACTTCACATATACGCCCATTTACACAAACAACCATACAAAACTCCGGGTGATTGATCTGAATGATTGCAAGAACAAAGCTTTTTTTTTAACTACACCACCATATTCTCTTTCATTTTATTGACTCCCATGTAGTTACACAAACGAAGCAGGGGTAAACAATCCGCACACAAAAAAATATCAATAAGGAAAATATATCAAATTACAGAATAAACTCTAAAAGAAACCGTTCACAAACTTTAGATGGAAGGTTTCATTTACGGCATTCTATTCTATCAAGTGAAACTTCACTGAGAGGTTATGACCTGTTAACCGGAGAGGATCTAACATGGTCGAAGTTTCAGGAGACCGACTCAACTCTCATATAATCATACTTACTAATTCAGCATCATTTATTGCGTTTTTATGTGTGTTTTAATTCCTGCTGTCCTGTTTTATATTAATGAAACAGAAACCTCGTGTATACATCATGTGTAGGGTAGTTAACATTTCATTCCTGTCTTTCCTGATAATCTTTCACGTGTCAATGTAGATCATTCATTCTCCGTATTTGCGGGGTAACATTCGACAATACCACTGATTGGTTCGTTGACTGACACGTTCCACTTACTACGTTCGAAATACAATAACTGGTTGGCACCGGTAATATATGGATATATTTGGAATAAAATCATAAATAGAAGATAGTGAGGAAACATATTGTGTTTGAACTCGTGAAAATCTGATATTATTATTATTATTATTATTGTGCCGGGGTGCAATTTAAGGTAGCGGGACTATTATTTGCATACTTTTTTTCATCTTCTAATTGGGACCAAACAAACAAACAAAACAAACAGACAGACCCAGGAAAGTATATATTTTTGGAATCGCCAGCTTTTTAAAGGTGTGTTTCTCATTCCCGTATCAGCATTCTACGGTGCGTTAGTTAATCAAAAGTGAAAAATTACTTTTTTTGTAAAAAAAAATAATTACGCATTTATGCTGGTGATAATAAGTTTTGTTTTCACTTTTCCTAGTTGTTCAATAGTTTGGTAAATTGAATGTGTCTGACCAGTTTTATTCAAGCAACGCGTTTTGAAAAATAGTGTCCTGAATTTTAATTTCTGTTTTAGTCGCATTGACCCCAACTCAAACCACAACACATTGGTAAATAATCCATGAAATAGTTTGTCTGGACATATTCAAGTTTCTCTCATTGTCACCTTAAAGCTGTGAAAATTTGGTGTTAATCCAACGACAATAAGTATACGTTATTTTTTGTTAAAGACCTTGTATTTTGAAAAACATAAACTCCTAGAAAACGTCGATGAAGTCACAGCAAAGATTTTCTACCTTGTTTATCTGCACAAGCGATTTGTTTTCCCATCAAGGTCTGTTTTAACATGTGTAGGAGCATCCAAATGTGTAAGGCTATTGGAAACCCAAAAAAATTAAAGGAATGAGATAGCTATAGTTCGATAAAACGGCAGATGAAAACACTAAAATCAATGATTTTTTTTCAGTGGCTGTGTGGCCTTGTGACTGACACATTCATATGCAAATGACTAATCTGTGA